AAGAGTTTGATCTATATATTCAAGATTTATTATTTTAAATACTTGTACAATTATTAACAAATTTTCATTTTAAAAAGAAGTCGACAATTTTTTGTTGAGTGAGCGACTTCAGTCTATCATTGTCCAAAGAATTTTCGATAGTAGTCAGAGCTGCGAAGAAATCGTTGTGGGTAGAGGGTTGTGACTGCTTGTACTGTAAGTACACCACATGTCTACATATGTAGAAAGCTGTGGGTAGTGGGTTGTGACTGCTTGTACTGTAAGTACACCACATGTCTACACATGTAGAAAGCTGTGGGTAGTGGGTTGTGACTGCTTGTACTGTAGGTACACCACATGTCTACACATGTAGAAAGCTGTGGGTAGAGAGGGTTGTGACTGCTTGTACTGTAAGTACACCACATGTCTACATATGTAGAAATCTGTGGGTAGAGGGTTGTGACTGCTTGTACTGTAAGTACACCACATGTCTACATATGTAGAAAGCTGTGGGTAGAGGGTTGTGACTGCTTGTACTGTAAGTACACCACATGTCTACATATGTAGAAAGCTGTGGGTAGAGGGTTGTGACTGCTTGTACTGTAAGTACACCACATGTCTACATATGTAGAAAGCTGTGGGTAGAGGGTTGTGACTGCTTGTACTGTAAGTACACCACATGTCTACATATGTAGAAATCTGTGGGTAGAGGGTTGTGACTGCTTGTACTGTAAGTACACCACATGTCTACATATGTAGAAATCTGTGGGTAGAGGGTTGTGACTGCTTGTACTGTAAGTACACCACATGTCTACATATGTAGAAAGCTGTGGGTAGAGGGTTGTTACTGCTTGTACTGTAAGTACACCACATGCCTACATATGTAGAAAGCTGTGGGTAGAGGGTTGTGACTGCTTGTACTGTAAGTACACCACATGTCTACACATGTAGAAATCTGTGGGTAGAGGGTTGTGACTGCTTGTACTGTAAGTACACCGCATGTCTATACATGTAGAAAGCTGTGGGTAGAGGGTTGTGACTGCTTGTACTGTAAGTATACCACATGTCTACACATGTAGAAAGCTGTGGGTAGAGGGTTGTGACTGCTTGTACTGTAAGTACACCACATGTCTACACATGTAGAAAGCTGTGGGTAGAGGGTTGTGACTGCTTGTACTGTAAGTACACCACATGTCTACATATGTAGAAAGCTGTGGGTAGAGGGTTGTGACTGCTTGTACTGTAAGTACACCACATGTCTACACATGTAGAAAGCTGTGGGTAGAGGGTTGTGACTGCTTGTACTGTAAGTACACCACATGTCTACACATGTAGAAAGCTGTGGGTAGAGGGTTGTGACTGCTTGTACTGTAAGTGCACCACATGTCTACACATGTAGAAAGCTGTGGGTAGAGGGTTGTGACTGCTTGTACTGTAAGTACACCACATGTCTACATATGTAGAAATCTGTGGGTAGAGGGTTGTGACTGCTTGTACTGTAAGTACACCACATGTCTACACATGTAGAAAGCTGTGGGTAGAGGGTTGTGACTGCTTGTACTGTAAGTACACCACATGTCTACACATGTAGAAAGCTGTGGGTAGAGGGTTGTGACTGCTTGTACTGTAAGTACACCACATGTCTACACATGTAGAAAGGTGTGGGTAGAGGGTTGTGACTGCTTGTACTGTAAGTACACCACATGTCTACACATGTAGAAAGCTGTGGGTAGAGGGTTGTGGCTGCTTGTACTGTAAGTACACCACATGTCTACACATGTAGAAAACTAGGTAAGAAAAATCACACCATATTCTACATTAAAAAAATATTATTTTTACTTTAAAAGCATATTTCAAATCAAAAAATGAAATGGTATTTAAATATTATTCAAAGCAATGGTATTCTACTAAAAATGTTCTATCAATATAAATTATGTATGAATAGAAATTCAACACACACAATATTAGCATTAAATTCCAAAAAGAAGGAATATAGAAATGAGACGAACATGGAAACAGAGGAAAGGAATAATCGATTAGCGAACACAGAGTAAAAACAAAAATATAGGGCACGGTGACCAGTCGCGTGTTTCAATTTGGAGCACAGAGGTCAATTCAATTCAATACATATGTTTTTTTTTATTTATTCATATTTTATATATTTCAATTATAGAGTATTATAACCTTCCGTGTGTGCCTTTTTAGCACACTTCCCTACATTGAAATATATTTATAGAGATTGTTTTGAAAATAGAGCAATCCATACCTAAATCATTAGATAAATAAAAAACATATATATTGGGATACATTTTAAAATATATATATACTAGCGGACGTACCCGGCTTCGCCCGAGGTTTTACCCGAGTAAAGGTTTGTCTAACGAACAATTCTCTATAAACTTATAAAAAAAAGATATATTTTGATAATTTGAAACTCGTAAATTTGAATCTCTCGATAAAGTGAACATTTTTTCCCGGTCCCTGTGTGCCGTGTCATCCTGAATTTTGTCTTTCATAATTTTCTACATTACAAAATCATCGTTTTATCTAGTGAACATATTTTCCCGGTCCCTTGAAAAATACTCGATAAGTTGAATAAAATCATGGTCGTGAATCTCTCGATAAAGTGATTATTTTTTCCCGGTCCCTGTGTGCCGTGTCATCCTGAATTTTGTCTTTCCTAATTTTTTATATTACAAAATCATCGTTTTAGCTAGTGAACATTTTTTCCCGGTCCCTTGAAAAATACTCAAATTATGTTAAACGATTATCGCATTTATATTTATGCGAATTTTATATTTAAACGATACTCATTATTTCTTTTGATTTTTATATATCATATATATCGTTTTGCACAATTATTTAAACTTTTTAAATTTAATTCATTGAATAGAAATTTAATTTTTAGTATCGCATTTATTTTTATTCGAATTTTATATTTAAACGATACTCATTATCTCGGTCTCAATGGTGGCGCTGCTTGCGAGTTAAGGCTACAAATCTGTAAATAACTCTAAGGATATTAAAGATATTCAAGAAATTATTTTTCGTAAACCTTTCCAGGGATATACCTAATAATATCCCAAAATTTCACGGCGATTGGATGTATGGTTTTTGAATCCATAGAGGATACACACACAGACACACAGACATTCATTTTTATATATATATATAGATAATATATCTAGGATCGGTTTGTATATCCTGTCGAATTGTGGCTGCGGGGTCGACTTGGGGTGTTGACTTACTGTGGGATTGCTGTGGACTCACTTTCGAATTGTGTTGAATTGTGTCGGATAACTAACAAACTACAATACGTTCCCATTTATATATCAAATATAGGCTTTCGAGATTGATACTATCTTCATCAACCTAATGAGAGACAATATCTTGCTGATAAAGATTATTTATATAACTCGAAAGCTGACAATCTATAAATAAAACACATTGAAGTTGCGCCATTTATTTTCAAGATAATTAACCTGATTGATAGATTTCCATGAGCACAGGCTAACTTAATTCTATTAAAATAAAACTTCCTATTCAATTAATGATTTCCCCCTAATGTAACAATTAATTATAAATGGATTTTTTTTTTAACCGGAAAAATTTATTGATTTAAAAAGAGCAAAATTATCTCCCCTCCTTCTTCATAATAGACGTAAAACTCAGTGCCATCTGTTGACCGTCTCTGAGATTAATCAGGTAGGATACAAAGACAGTTTATGAAAAAAAAAAAAAAAGGCATCTCCTTATCGTGCAACTAAAAGTTCCTGATGGCTGACGCCATCTATCGGAATAAATGCTTTGCTAATTTGTTTATCTGGAGAACATTGTATCGGGGTAATGACTCTTGTCAGTTATTCTGAATTTTCCAAAAGAGGTGTTGTGGTTTTGTGACCGACACAAGTCTCTGCTAAACTTTCAAGAGACAATAAATATATTGCGTATATACTCATGGACAAAACTTAGATAAATTGAATGTCTTTGATATTACCGGTCGTCTGTGTTTTTGAAGAAGACAGAGGCAATTTTGTTCACACTTAGTTATCTCGTGTGTCTTCAATAAAAGTCACTGTATATCAAATATCTTTCAGAGTTATTATCTGAATCCCAATATACGTTATAAATTGTTTACCTTATCAATAACAGATGGCGTTTAAATGCATCAAGTTTAAAACTAGCGTTTAAATGATATTTATTCCGATAGATGGTGCATAGTCATCAGTAATTTTCAGCTGTATCAGTTAAACAATAAAAATATGCTTTTACATAATATATTCCCTTTCGTTTGAACAAATAAGTCAAATAAATAAAGGTTTTAGACTTTTTGTTTTGTTAAATATTCACGAAAATGTGCCTCATATTTTATTTGGACTTTTAGATATCTTACAATGTGCTACAGTCTCTAGATTAATGAACAGCAAATGGGGTTCAGGAGGCTTCTTGCTTAATTAGAGAAAATATATTCTTGAGGGAAATAGTCTGATAGATTCCTGTTTGTAAAAATACATTTTTATTCTTTTGATAAAGTTTTTATTGTCTCATTTGTTATGTTTTCCAGTACCGTAGCTTCATTGTTCCTGAGGTTATGTATTTCTCTGTGCATTTCATTAAATGAGATCTCACAATACAACTCAGGGTCAGAATAAGATAAATCAGACACAAGTTGCACATTTGACAAAGGTGTAGACAGCAACGGTAAAGACTTATTTATGGATTGCTTTATTTTCAAAAGATTTAACAAGAATAAACGAATATAGTAGAACCTCCATGAGAGGACACTCATGCTAGAGGACACCTCTCTATAAAGGACAGTTTTCATTTGCAAAATTAATATTTTTACTATTTAGAAACTCTCCGGTAAGAGTGAATATGGTTTTACGAACTACAAACCAAAATGTATGATTTTTGAGCCAAAAAATGAACGAAAAAAATATAGCAGAGCGTGGTTTCGATCCACGGACCTCTGGGTTATGGGCCCAACACGCTTCCACTGCGCTACTCTGCTACAAAAAAAATTTCCTTGTCGGGAATCGAACTCAGATCTTCTGGGTGAAAGCCAGATTTCCTAGACACTAGACCACATGGGAATACGAAATTCTCCGGTAACAGAACACCTCTCTGTTAAAGACAATTTGGCTCTTTAATTAGGTGTTATTTACAGGGAGGTTCTATTGTACAACAACAACAACAACAAAGCTTTTATTTAGGGCCTCTCGCCCTATACAGGATTCGCCAGTTCACAAGGGATGGGGAGAACACTGTGTGGCCTTTTTCCGGGATATAATCCTGTGGAATCCAAATATCGCCACCGCTATATACCTATTATTTGATATTTCATTAATTAGTACCGGAAATGAATTCATTAGATAATAACAACAACAACAAAGCCTTTATTTAGGGCCTCTCGCCCTATACAGGATTCGCCAGTTCACAAGGGATGGGGAGAACACTGTGTGGCTTTTTTCCGGGATATAATCCTGTGGAATCCAAATATCGCCACCGCTATATACCTATTCTTTGATATTTCATTAATTAGTGCTGGAAATGAAGGACAAAGTTGCCTCGTTTTATCATTTAGTTTTCGTCTTTCCTCAGACAGAGCAGCACAATCAAATAAGTAGTGCAACATCTTCATATTCTATTGTATATGAATTAGAATCTGAACCTTTTCAATATTCAATCGGAAATTTAATCTATTTAACATACAATATGGAGATAGTCAAACTTTTGTTGAAAAATAATTTTACATAGTTAGCCTCCAGTATTTTCCTGAGTTAAATGTTCAACTTGTGTCTGATTTATCTTATTCTGAGACACTGAGTTGTATTGTGAGACCTCATTTAATGAAATGCACAGAGAAATACATAACCTCAGGAACAATAAAGCTGCGGGACTGGATTACATACCAAATGAGGCAATACAAACTTTACCAAAATTAAAAAAAGGTATTTTTACAAACAGGAATTTATCCGACTATTGCCCTCAAGGATCTGCCAATCCTATTCGAGGGGCCTGTCCTAACGACGGCCAAAGTCTGTTGCCCCAATGAATCCACCTAAGAAAACTTATCTCCTTCCAATAAACCTCTATTCCAGCATCTATCTATCATAGAATTTATATATTTCATAACAATTCTTTTCAAAAATACTATTAGAAACTACTGAAAGGAATTTTCTATTATTGATATTACATCAATTTAATCTAACAAAAAATATTTTTGAAAGAAGAAAAAAAAAAAAAAAAAGCAGACGAAATTATGCCTTATTTAATTATTCCTTTTTTCATTTTGTCATCGTCTGCGCCACCTAATTACAGACGAACATTTTAAACTTTAATTTTGAACATTTTCTTCGAAGAACTTAATTTGATCGTGTAACGCCCCTATTAACTTTTGTAAAGTACTATGTAAACATGAAGTCTACTTTTATTATATTTTAATAATAGCAAAAATATGTTTTAATAGACTTTTTCATAAACATGGTGTTTATTTATATATTATCACAAGAAATAAATATAATCTTAAGTCTAATATATATATATTATAAATAAAAATGAGATCTCTGTTGATATATTTGATTTATATAGAATCATTAGCTGTTGCTTGATTTTGTAAAGTACTATGTAAACATGAAGTCTACTTTTATTATATTTTAATAATAGCAAAAATATGTTTTAATAGACTTTTTCATAAACATGGTGTTTATTTATATATTATCACAAGAAATAAATATAATCTTAAGTCTAATATATATATATTATAAATAAAAATGAGATCTCTGTTGATATATTTGATTTATATAGAATCATTAGCTGTTGCTTGATTTTGGTTATCTTGAGGATTATGCTATGGTAATGCAGTCGTGTTTAAAATCTTGAAAGTATAATTATAAAAATAGTTTTGATCAGTTATTGCTTTAATTGAACTTATGGGATATATAAAAACCTAATTTGATTAAAGTACTGCCTGGCTTAAGGCGAGTAGAACAAGGAAAAACAAAATATTATTTACATAATGTACAAAAGGTTTGAGCCGGCCATCGGGAAACAACAACAATGAGTGTTTATATGGAAAGCGCGACCTCTGGCGGTCGATTTAACAGAATATTTGTATCTATGAAATATAATTTTAAATAAAATAATATTTTTATATCTCTATATATATAAAAATGAATGTTTGTATGTCTGTCTGTATGTCCGGTATACAAATTCGCAGTAGTTCACTAATTCAAACCAAAATTTCCATACATAGGTAAAAAAATACGGGGAAGACGATAGGCTATTTTAAAAAATATATAAATCAATTATTAAAACTATATATTTTTATTCAGAAAATGATGATGACGATATTGCTGTATCATGTTTGATTATCAGATACAAAATTATATCGGGAAAAATTCCAAAAAGCAGAGACCACGGGTGAAACCAGTTCATTATTTTGTACGCAGGAACAAAATTCTAACAGAAAAACATTCATTCGAGCAGAAAACAAAAGCTAGATCATCTTTCTATAAAAATATCGATTCTCAGACACAAAGTTTGGAGCGGGACGTTTCACAAGAGTGACATCCACGGCGCCAATTTATAATTGTAACGAATAGTATTTGAATAAAAACATTTAATCGGGTAAAACCCGGGCGTTGCCCGGGTCATTCGGCTAGTAACATATATATGAAAAATAATTTTAAAGGTAAGGTGTTGATATTAAAAAATAAAAAAGACATATCTTAACCACTAACATGAGCTTTTTAGATAGCAGAGCGCCATCTAGTGGAACAAAAACCAACTAAACGTTGATTTAACCTGTTCCCTGATATTTGGCCAACCCAATTTCGCGCCAACAGCGCGAAACGCGTTCGTGGATGGCTTTTCTTGATTTATCAAGAAATTGGGTTGGCCAAATATCAGGGAACAGGCTAAATCAATGTTTAGTTGATTTCTGTTTTCCACCAGATGGCGCTCTGCCTTCTGAAAAGCACATGTGCTCCTGGTCAGGATATGCTTTTTTTTTATTTTTAATATATATATGTTTATATAGTTATTAATTATATTTTAAATATTATTATAGAGTTTTCATGTGTAGAATTTAAATTATATACATATCTCCACATATATTTTGATATATTATTACATATATAACATATATATATATATAACAAACACCTGGCCTTTTTATTTATTTATTATTATTTTTCCCATTATTACATATATATTCTCTATATATAAAATTTAACCATTACAATGAGTTAAACCTATTTGAAAGATTTGCCTTTAATTATTCCAGCTATCTGTACAGACATTAAGTTATAAATCCTCCAATTCTGTAATGCAAGAACCATGTTTCAGTGATCCAAGCTACTTTAAATAAGTCCACTTACATAAATAAAAAATCTTAAAATTTACAACTGGAATTATTCTTACTTTTCCTCTCCAAGAACAAAAAAAAAACTTTTATTAAAAAAGAACTTTTAGTTGAAATTTCCGCTCTCAAAAAAAAAGAATAAAATGACGAAAAAGTTGACCAAAGTTGAATCTAAGCAATTAGTTTTTGTACTTTGACAAAAAAACTGAGGATTTTAGTTTTAAAACTTAATAGTTTGGGTGTATAACTTGAAATTTAGGGATTTGTGTGTGTGTGTGTGTGTGTGTTTGAAAACTTCATGTTTTAAATTTTAAGCTCATGTAAAGGATGTTGGTTTTATATTTTAAAGATATATTTTAGGTGAGCAATATTACAGTGAGCTTTATTGAAGACACACAAGATAACCAAGAGAAAAAAAATTGCCTCTGTCTTCTTCTTCTTCTTCTTCAAAAAAAATTATAGGTATATTCTTAACAGTTATTGTAAAAATAGTAATTTCCTAATTAAGAAGCGCAAACCTTCTCATTGCCGGACTCAAGCCCGGATGAAAAAGGAGGAGGGGGAGCAGTAACAAGTTCGTTAAAAAACCTGAGCTCATCTGGCCCGGCTGATAGTACCCTGTAAGAGCTCCAGGGATACAGGATGAGTATGTACTCCATGTTAGGAGCGACTGCACATGGCGTCTGTTCCTCATGTCAGAGGTGGCCATTTCATATTGGAGCTAAGTCGGCCTGCCACTGAGTAGTGCCTAGGGTCTTGATGACAAAGACAGACACATTCTACTTCATTATGGATGTCAAATCTCTTTTGATAAGATCAATTCATCATCAGAGGACACCATCTCAAGCTCTACAAGATTGATATCCTAATATGATTGAGTGGAGATAAGAAAGAAGATAAACAGACTATAGAATAATTGAGACGGTCTGGTAGATTAAACTGTCGAAACCTCTGATAGAGTTCACTACCGATTTCAGCCAAGATCTCCTAATATATATTTTTTAAATTCTTCTGTTTAATGGTTGTAAAAAATGTCTTTAAAAAAGAGTAAAATACTTAGTTTTCTCGAATAATTAATTTGATAAAATTTCTTCACAATGCTTGAGATAAAATCGTGGACAAAACTTAAGGAAGTTGTACCTTTTACCATGTATATCGAGATTCAGACAATAACTCTGAAAGATATTACAGTGACCTTTATTGAAGACACACGAGATAACCAAGTGTGAACAAAATTGCTTCTGTCTCTTAAAAAAAACAGACTACCGGAGAAATCAAAGACTTTCCACTTCCAATAAGTGTATAAGTAGACAAAGCTCTCATCGGCCAATGAATCAGAGAAAAGCTTGTAGATCTTTGATTTGTCAAATTGATAGGCATGAGAAGTAGCCAATTTGAAGCCGGGATCAATGAAAGACACTAGGGGACCTTTTACTATAAAATTTCATCTCTGCACAACTCACATGTTAATCAAAAATCTATCTCCTGATATTCTGAACGTTTTGGGGGAAAATAGCAAGAGTATCTTTGTTGTTTAATAATCCATGGAAGATCAATGCATGTATCATATATTATTTACTCTCTATGTGCATCTTTTTCTCGAGCTAAAATCGTGGACAAAACTTAAGGAAGTTGTACCTTTTAGCATGTATATTGAGATTCACACAATAACTCTGAAAGATATTACAGTGACCTTTATTGAAGACAAACGAGATAACCAAGTGAAAA